GCTCTGGGTTTACCACATATTAACTAAGTATTTAGTTTGGCGACGCGAAGCGCCAAGTACGTTACTTTTGAGCTCTTCTCACTCTGGTGGGGCACTGTACTGTGTTTCCTGAAGGGGGAATCTAATGGATTAGGCCTCCGGCCAAAACTCCGTAGTTGTTTCTAAACTGGTTTGTAAACATCCTTGTTGTAGTTTCATAAAGTTAAACGATAAACTATATTAGTCAGCAGCCTAAGCTACTAGTTGTTTTCCTAGGTGGGAACTAAGCTTAACTATGGAACCATCCGGTTTTAGGTCGGATAATAAATACAAAATATGCCCGAAGGATGACTATTCAGCCTTCAGCTCTTTGGTAGCTTCTACTCCGTTAGAGGCGAAACGGCAAGCTACTCGTTGACACGGGGCTTTGCCAAACCCCCTCTGGTTTGGAGAATTGNAACATTACAATTATAAACTCACAGCATGCGCGCTGTGAGTTTATAATTGTAATGTTATTAAAGTCTAAACAACCTTAGGCCACAAGCTGCAAAAAAAAGGGGGGGGGCGACGCTCCTTGTGGCCAAGCGGACGGCTTACAGCACAATAAGCGGCTCTATGTGCACCGGTCCTAAGCCACAAAGGCGTTGGCTGCACTTCGTTGTGTATGTGTGTGTGTGTGTGAGTTAAGTCTAGTTGTAGCTTAACGTTAGTATCACCAAAGCTTATTCCACAAGTTGTAACCAACGCGGCCTGCGTGGACGCCCTTCGCGCTTGGCGACGGAGTACCTCCGGCATGCCGGTACGTAGCACAGAACTTAACCAGAAAATCTTGACATTATTTGTTGCAAAAATAGATTTGTTTTTTTCTAAAACCATTTTTTATTTGGTACCTAAGCCACCGGTTATTATTAAATATATTTAGTATTTTTCCAATAATTTTGGTAAGAAGTTTATTAAAAATATATGAATCCTTTATTAGAAATTGCTGAAGTTTCAGTAGGTCAACACTATTACTGGGAATTGGGTGGTTATGAACTACATGGCCAAGTCCTTATTACTTCTTGGGTTGTTTTAGCAATTATAGCAACATTAAGTTTATTAGGTAATCGTGATCTAAAACCAACACCAGATGGTTTTCAAAACTTTACCGAACTTGTAACAGAATTTATTCGTGATTTAGCTAAAACACAAATTGGTGAAGAAGATTATTTAAAATGGTACCTTTTTTAGGTACAATTTTTC